GGTGTTCTGCCCATCCCTTGGCCCTTATAGACCCATATATGCTGGTTTGATATGTTCTCCCCTCCCCTTGGCCTCTATAACCATGTATGGTGGTTTGATGGTGTTCTTACTATCCCTTTGCCCTATAGACCCATATATGCTGGTTTGAATTGAGTGGTCAGGCACCTTTTGATAAAGTTGTGTGGATATCCATTTTGTTCGAAGATGAAGTATAGATGTTGACACTTTTGAATTGGAATAATATTTCAGAATAATTAGCTGTGGGTAGGAAGGAACTAAGTAAAGAAGCTAATTCTGTCTAGGCAAGAATGAACTAATGATTAATTCAGGAAATTATAATCCCATATAAATAACTTTAGAATTTTTTTCCAGTAGCTTAAAATTGTGTGTGTGGGGGGGGGTTAATTAAAAAAATAATATTTTAGTCATACATGGGAAATTGAATGTAAAAAGCAAAATTTTCATTTTTAATTATTTAGTTGGATTGAGACAATATATTCAGCATGTTTATGGAATTTGGATTTAGAGATTCTACTGCTTAAAGACTGCACATCTATTTACTCTCACTACCAAGAAATGTAACACTGGTAGGCCAGGTTAAAGAATCATTAAGTTGTATTTGCAAGCAATGAAAGGAAAAAAGAAAAAAGAAAAAGTAACCAGACTGGAAGTAGATATACAGGCCATATTTCCACAGTTTACCTGAAGTCACCAAGGCTCTACACATTGTTGTTGTTGTTATTGTTATTGCCACCACCACTCCAAAGATTCTGGGCAGCTGAGTAATAAAGGACTTCCCTTACTTGGGAAAGCTCTACCACATATCCGTAGACTTCTTCAAACTACTGCTTTATCATGTTCTTATGATATTATTATATATTACACACACACACACGTGTATGTGTATTATTATTATTATTATTAATAATAATAATAATATATGGAGGCTATATGAACCCCTCCTCTGTTTTAACAAGTTTATATTTCTAATTCGTATGAAAATGCTGTAATCCTGGGTAAGGAAAATTAGGTGCTCAGTATTCAATTTCAGCCCCCATAATGTCAGCTTTCACTTATGTGAGCAAGGCAAAGGATTGTAAAAGTTGTAATCTGATAGGTATCAGATTGTTTCTCCTGTTACAACCAATACGTTGTTAATTTCTGTTCTTTGAGTAAAAGGGGTGCATATATTTCTTTCTCCATAGTTTTAGTCATCATAAAGTATCAGGCAAATTTAATAAATTCATTTGTCCAGCTTTTTATTTTGAACAAAATTTATGTAAATTTCTAATTCCCAAAATTTACTATTCAAACTTTTGAAACCAAGAATAACATTTCATATTTGTAGGTGAGTGTATTGATTCCTAAGGGGCAAGCCAATTCCAACGTTCCAATTCCAAAGGTGTGAATCACACTATATCCTAATTTTTTCCATTATGTTTTCAGAAGAGACATTGGTGCCATATAGCAAGCCTAGCTTCCCATCCCCAGGTGGTCACAGCTCTTCAGGTACAGCATCTTCTAAAGGATCAACTGGACCAAAAAAACCAGATGTCATGAAAGGAGGTCATCAGCGCAACACCAGCGACCTCATTGATGTAGGATATATTGGATTAAACAGTCAAGGACAGTTTTCTGGTGAATTATGTAAGTTTCTTTTGTGATCCAGTAAAAAAAAAGGGGGGGGAGAGTTAGAATTAGAATAGAAGGAAATTGTTCACCTTTCTCTTTTAGCAGGTACTCATGGGAAATCTGTCATTAACAACACATTAATCTATAACATGCAGTAACATATGTTTTACATATATTTAATAACCAAAAGCATAATATTATGAATTTAAGTAAGTGTACACAGGGTTTCCATCTGAATATTAATGCAAACAGAAACATGCCATATTCCTCAGTCAGCTAAAGTTCAAGAATACCATTACTAGGTTTAGTTTTCTTGGACTGATAGGGGACAAAGGCCATGTTTCATACAACTATGTTTTAACCACAAGTTGTTGAATAAGCAAGAAACATACCAGTACATAGAAAAAATGAAAAGCCAAAAATATACAAGCAGAGCATTATAGCTTCCTATAATAACAAAGGACAATAACTGCTTCTCCTAGTGTTATAACTTTTAGTAGAGCAAGTTCCTTCTATATATCAGAATGGCTTATTCAATTTTATAGACTTTTTTTTTTCATTAGTATAATTTATTTTGAGGAAGTAGGAGAGAAACAGTTCTACTGATAGCTTAATTTATACACTTACTTTCTTCCTTCTGGATCTCTTTTTATTCCACACAGTTTTGCCTACAAGATTAATATGAAAAGTAATAATTGAATTTATTTCCTAGTTTTATAACATACATTAACATCATAAGTATATAATATGTATGATAGAGAAGCTGGTCACTTAGAAAAAAGTACTAGACGTCTTTTAACTGTCCATTTGGAAGTTCCCAGTTTTACTCTATTTAATCATTTCCTTCAAAAATTTAGCATTTCTGAACAGTAAGCTTTCTCTAAAGTAGAAAACTATAGCTTACATTGTATTATTTTATATTGCAGGGCAAAGGGTATTTGGAAGTTCCCAGTTTTACTCTATTTAATCATTTCCTTCAAAAATTTAGCATTTCTGAACAGTAAGCTTTCTCTAAAGTAGAAAACTATAGCTTACATTGTATTATTTTATATTGCAGGGC